TCGGATGAAACAAGCCAAGCTAACATTAGCAGCAGTTCGGCTCGCAGCCAATCCGTGACGTCCTTGACAGCAACTCCCATAATCCCTTGCTGCTTCACCATCTCAAGCATTCAGCCGGCGCTGAAGACAGACAGACAGGCAGGCAGACAGACAGACAGACAGGCAGACAACAGGCAGGCAGACAGACAGACAGACACACAGGCAGGCAGACAGACAGACGGACAGACAGACAGACAGGCAGGCAGACAGACAGACAGACAGGCAGACAGGCAGGCAGGCAGGCAGACAGACAGGCAGGCAGGCAGACAGGCAGGCAGGCAGACAGGCAGGCAGACAGGCAGGTGGATGACGTCCATGCTGCGGACAGACGGCGAAGCTTCAAAGCTCTAAATAAAGGTCCGGGCTCAGTGGGGAGTCGAGGATGTTGGGGGGGAAGAGGTGACTCCCCCCACTGTGGGGGGGGGGGCACAGTCTCCCAACATGCCTTTGAAAACGACCACATGACCCCTTTTGAAGCGTCAGAGGAGACGTCACGCTTTACATCAGTCTGATTGTTTACAAAAATAAACAACTTGTTTATGGTGAAAACAGAAGAGTCAATATTTTATTATCAAACACTGATCATTATTGATCACTGATTGGCTCCTGAGACTGACCTGAGATCAGTTCCATATATAAATACACAGTGAGTCTATGCAGGTATCCTGTGCTGATAAATGATCATCCATAACGCATGACGGGGCCCGTTACCATGGCAACACAAATTCAAAGCATAATTAGTCGTCGGGGAAACGGGGCTGCTGTGATGGAGGACCACCGCCCCAAACCAGTGCTCCCAGTATGAGACTGCGAGCAAACACAAAGTATTATTGATGATAATAATAATAATGTACATTATTACTGTATCCACTTAAAGAATTTGATTTATTATTATTGTTGTTGTTGTTTTTTCTTTATGACCTTTTCTCAAAATATTTACTCTTTGATTTCAGTTTTTTTATTATTTCCCCAGAAATGAACTGAATACTATAATATACTATAACTATAATATAGTTTGTACGTTTAAACACTGAACTCAACCTCCTGCTGCGGGTTGAAGATCAGTTTCACTCTACAGCTGCAGTAACAGTTTGTCCTCAGGGTGGCGCTACAGGTTTCTTCTCCTCTACGTGGGAGAATTAACCAACAGAGACTGATTGTGATTATCGCTGTTAGTCTGGTTCATTACCCTCAGGTACAGTACTGCAGGAACTGAGACTCTCTGGCTGCTGTGACCTTTGACCTCCTCTCTATCTGCCACTGACCTCAGTGACCTCCGACCCAACAGGAAATGAGTCCTGACAGACTTCAGGTGTTTCCTTTCAGAAAACTGTTGTTGTCAACCTCAGAGCTTTTTATTTGTTGGTGTCAACAAGCCTCCATGTTTCTACAGTAAACAATCAGAGTCCGCCTGAGGACGCTGAACCAGGATCAGTTTCCAGTCAGACGATGTTAAACTTTATTTACAGTCAGAACGTTTGTCGCTGTTTTAGTCTCTTAAAGTTCAGTTTCCTCCTCAGTTTGTCCTGAAGGTGGCGCCACAGGGAATAACTGGTTCTGGCTATGGTTCTGGTTCTGGTTCTGGTCTGTGTGCTCAGTCAGAGGTGAAGGTCAGTGAGTTGTTGTTCTATCAGCTGATCAGGAGTATTGATCAGGTCTGAAGTCAGTGACCCTCGTGCTGATTGATCCATCAGCTCCGATCAGAGCACAGTGACAGTGTTCCTGTTATTATGTCAGTAATACGTAAAGTAATTACATTACTTTTCTGAAGTAATAAATTACATGTTTTTAGGGTGCTGCTGTAGGGTCGGAGGTCAGAGGGCAGAGGTCAGTTGAACTCCTCTAGGTGTTTGAGAACAGGAAGTCACACCTGGAGCTTTCTGATAATGATCAATTATTTGAGTTGAACTCAATCAGACTTAATTAAATTTTCAATTCAATTCAATTCAGTTTTATTTGTATAGCGCCAATTCATAACAGAAGTTATCTCAGGACGCTTTTCAAATAGAGCAGGTCTAGACCGAACTCTTTAACATTAATTACAGAGACCCAACAGTACCACCATGAGCAAGACCTTGGAGACAAGGGCAAGGAAACACTGCCTGTTAAAAGGCAGAAACCTAGGACATCTCTATATATCACTATATCTATAGTGTATTCATATCTATCTGTCTGTATACTTGTTATAAGGAGTTCGGTCTAGACCTGCTTTATTTGAAAAGTGTCCTGAGATAACTTCTGTTATGAATTGGCGCTATACAAATAAAACTGAATTAAATTGAATTATATAATGTCAATCTCATACTGTTCATAATGTAAATAATGTAAATATCCTGCTGGTATATTCATATATATTCTATAATGTTATTACGTTTTTACATATTTTTGTACGTAAGTAAATTACTCTGCACTTTTCTGCTTTGCACGTCTGGTTAGATGTTAACTGCATTTCAAATGACAATAAAGTTTAATCTAATCTATAATATAAATATATTGTTTACATTTTAAGTTACTGCAGTACAGTTTGTATTTATACCTCGTCTGTTCAAAACCTTTAAAGGGACATTGTGTAGGAATTTCTCCCATCTAGTGGTGAAATTGTATTTTGCATTCAAACGAATAGTGCTCTCTAGTGCCTCGCGTTTTCAAATGCGTATTGCAACTACGGTAGCTGTTATGTACCAAGAAGCCTACCTGTGGAGGAGAAAGCAGTTATATCTCCGTTATAGCTGGTTTCAGTCACGTGACGCTGGCTCTGAACGAGAACGCGTTGTGGATTAGTTAGACAGGTAGGCTCGTGCTTTATGTCCCTCTCGGTGATTATAGTTTTTCAAAATGGCGGTACAACATGGAAGCCTCCATGGACTTGCCCGTCCAATGTTTATACAGATAAGAAATTCTTCGCTTACGAGGATAAGTCAGATCATTGGCAGAGGTAATTTTACACCAATGAGGACACATTTATGAATGAAGACATTGATTTTAGCTAATACAATACTTAAAACACTACACAATGTCCCTTTAAAGTTAAAATGTGATTTTCATCCTCACACACACACACAGTAACACGCACACACACAGTAACACGCACACACGCACACACACACACACACACACACAGTAACACGCACACACGCACACACACACACACAGTAACACACACACACACACAGTAACACGCACACACGCACACACACACACACAGTAACACACACACCACACACACACACACACACACACACACAACACACACTCACACACACACACACACACACACAATAACACGCACACACGCACACACACACACACACACAACACAACACACACACACACACACACAGTAACACGCACACACACACACAGACACACACACACACACATTCAGCCAATCAGCTGTCAGTCTTTTCGTATGCAAGTTGCTGCTGGTGATAAAATCTGAGCTGCTGATCTGCACATGAATGCATCACACACACACACACACACACACACACACACACACACACACACACACACACACACACACACACACACACACACACACACACACACACACACACACACACACACACACACACACACACACACACACACACACACACACACACACACACACACACACACACACACACACACACACACACACACACACACACACACACACACACACACACGCACACACACACACACACACACACACACACACACACACACACAGACACACAGACACACACACACACACACACCCACTACAGTTAGTTACTGCACACACAGACATGAGAGTTTATAAAGTAAAGTTTGGTTAATAATAAGGTTTATAAATTAAAGTTTGGTTAATAATAAGGTTTATAAAGTAAAGTTTGGTTAATAATAAGGTTTATAAAGTAAAGTTTGGTTAATAATAAGGTTTATAAAGTAAAGTTTGGTTAATAATAAAGTTTATAAAGTAAAGTTTGGTTAATAATAAGGTTTATAAAGTAAAGTTTGGTTAATAATAAAGTTTATAAAGTAAAGTTTGGTTAATAATAAGGTGTATAAATTAAAGTTTGGTTAATAATAAGGTTTATAAAGCTCTGTCTGCAGCTCCTCTTCACTCCCTGTTTGCGGCGCATTAATCAGCAGCTGGAGGATCCAGATGTAAATGAAGTTAACAAGAACACAAAGGAGCAGAAATCCTCTCAATGAACCACTAACGAACCAAAAACAGCTCTTAAACCCTCCTCATCCTGTGAGGAAGAGTTCACACTGCCTCCATGTTTCCACTACAACACACACACACACACACACACACACACACACACACTGTAAAGCACTGAAATCTATCTTTAATAAACCTTTATTTATAAGGCATCTTACAGGAACTTATAGAGAATGAAGTCTGTAAACAGAAAACCTCCGTCAGCATCACGTAGTTTCTTTTGGTGGTTCAAATGTGGATTAAAACCCATCATATATACTTTTACCATAATGTATGTATTTATTACTAGTTCTGGCAACCACAGCGGACCGGGTACTGTGGCCTGTCATTAAGCCCCCCCCTTTAACCTGTGAGGATTCCTGTAATTTAACTGAAGTAAATATAAATTCTGAGCTTTGCCAATTTAATACCATAAAATAAGAATATTATATTTTTGTTGTTAGGATGATAAATCCTGCAGCCAGCAGCCAGTTATATTCATTATATATAATAAATCTATTAATAGTTATTGATCAGTGTCCTGACACATACAACAACCTGACTGAATCTTATATTTCTGTCGCCAATGTGACGTTACTGTAACTAATGTGTGTGTTTATTCATTAGAATTAGAAGGTAGGTCCTCAGTTTATGGGAATTATTAAGTTCAAATCCCCTCTGCTCCACACTGTCACACCACAAAAAAACGGCTGTTTTAAGACTCTAAACCTTTACTTCACTCACTGACTGAATCTGTCACATTGACTCAGTAACATCATTAACTAACCTGTGAGGAAGAGTTGGACACAGACACACTCACTGACTGTCTGTCATTAACTAACCTGTGAGGAAGAGTTGGACACACACACACTCACTGACTGTGTTCAGTCTAACAGCAGTCAGTTCATTCAAATGCAGCCGTTGTGTTTGAGGAGGGTTTAGATGTTGGCAAGAAGCTCTTCGCAGATGCAAATACATCCCCCTCTCCCCAGCCTCCCCCAGCTCTCCCCCAGCTCTCCCCCAGCTCTCCACCAGCTCTCCCCCAGCTCTCCCCCAGCTCTACCCCAGCCTCCCCCAGCCTCCCCCAGCCTCCCCCAGCTCTCCATACACATGTTAAATGGCTGGGGGTGTAGTGAGGAGCTGTGTGGGGTTTAAAGGCTGAATAACAAGCTACAGAACAAACAGATATAAAAATAAAACCTGTTTCATTCATTTCTCAAAGTGAAATCCTCCAAATGTGGCTTTCTGTAATGAAACGAGGCCACAGACACAATAATCAGAGCGAGAACGTTCCTGAACATTTCACTGCTGCTTCTGCATCACCTCAGATTTTATTAAACCAGTAAAGCATTTAAATAGATATAGTTTGATAAATCACAACTTCATCATCAGTGAAACAAACAGCTCACTTTAAGAGACACAATGAGTGATTTTAATTAACAGTAAAAATCACCACCAACACTTCTACAATCCTGTAAATGTGTCTTTACATTAGAAAAATACTCAAATATACATTACATTTACATTTGACTCACATGCACTTTTACCTGAGAGAAACTTTATTTCTGATTAATTAGGCTATATATTTATTTACTAGTCAAAGAGACCAATAAACACAAACAACAACACAAATAAACTAGGAAGTAAATCAAAGTGTAACCATCAGTAAAAACAGCAGAATATAAACAGTTAAACATGAAAATATTATGTTGTAATAACTTTACAATCTGCAGACATGAGTAACAATACAGATATATCCTGATCACCTGGAAGCTTTTCAATGACTCAAAGTCCTGAAGGCTCCTCAAGGACCGTCAACAATTTCAATGATCCTTGAAGGACCTAAAGAGTCTCAGAAGTCCTTGAAACTCCTGGAATCTGCTCACAGGCTCCTGGAATTCTCTGGACTCCATTTTGGGCAAAACGGTATCCTATAAAAGCCTTATCTTAAATTTTACTGAGAAATAAACACGTAAAAAAGATAAATAAACACGTAAAAAAGATAAATAAACACATACAAATGAGAAATAAACATGTAAAAAAGATAAATAAACACGTAAAAAAGATAAATAAATACATAAAAAAGATAAATAAACACGTAAAAAAGATAAATAAATACATAAAAATGAGAAATAAACATGTAAAAAGATAAATAAACACATAAAAAAGATAAATAAACACATAAAAATGAGAAATAAACATGTAAAAAAGATAAATAAACACATAAAAATGAGAAATAAACACGTAAAAAAGATAAATAAACACATAAAAATGAGAAATAAACACGTAAAAAAGATAAATAAACACGTAAAAAAGATAAATAAATACATAAAAAAGATAAATAAACACGTAAAAAAGATCAATAAATACATAAAACCGAGAAATAAATACATGAAAACATGAAATAAACAAATAAACATCTGAAACCAAGAAATAAATACGTAAAAATAAACAAGTAAAAATAAGAAATAAACATGTAAATAGTATTATTTCATATTATATAGTATATATAAAATAAGAATTGAATTTGCCTGCGGTTGGTTGTTTAAACATTTTAATATGAATATTTCCATAATCTTGTTGAATTTGCATAAAAACTGTCTGGCACACACACTGAAAAACATGGCGGGAGTGAGGATGTGTTTACTTTGACCCAGAGGCTTTAAAAATACCTGTAGTGTGATTTATTACCGTTAAACAGCGATAACACGCCATTAAATATCGATTACTTTCACAGTAATGATTTATCAATTGAAATTGAATTGAAGTAACGGCCAGACTCCTGTGGGCGGGAACGCGGGGATAGCAGGAGAGCTGTGATTGGCTGAGTGCGCCGCGGAGGCGGGAAGGTATTGGGGAAGAAGAGCGCTGATTGGTTGAGGGCGCTAACGTTGCGCGCATGATCAGCCGGTTAATAAGACGCCGGTTTGGAAGTTTAAACAGAGACGAGATGCTGCCGGACGGCGGACGGAACAGCGGCTGAAAACCGGTGAAACGACAAATAAAGACGTAAAAGAGGAGAAATAAAGTAGTGAAAGTGTCTGCGGAGGGTTGTTCGAGTCCGTCTGGAGATTAAATTCGGACCATGGTTCAGCACACGGAGCACGGCGGGGCGGGGATTAACAGCGTGTCCCGCGAGGCGACCGACCCGGAGGAGAGAGAGCTGCTGGCGGCGTCGGCGTGCAGCCCCGTGCCGGTGAAACCCGACTGGTGCAAAACGGCGTCCGGGCACATTAAACGGCCGATGAACGCCTTCATGGTGTGGTCGAAGATCGAGCGGAGGAAGATCATGGAGCAGTCTCCGGACATGCACAACGCGGAGATCTCCAAGCGGCTCGGGAAGCGGTGGAAGATGTTAAAGGACACCGAGAAGGTCCCGTTCATCCGGGAGGCGGAGCGGCTGCGGCTCAAGCACATGGCCGACTACCCGGACTACAAGTACCGGCCCAAGAAGAAGCCCAAGACGGACGGCTGTGCGTTCCCAGCGGGGAAGACAGCCGCTCACTCACCGGAGAAAACTACCGGTAATAATCATAAAAACTCCGCTAAGAAACTGTCCAAGTTGAAACCCAGTAAGCCGGTGGTCGGTACCGGGAGGGTGAGCAGCCCGGACCCCCGGTACCGGTACGTGTTCACCAGCAGCGTCAAACGGGACTTCAGCGACTCCGAGGAGGAGGATGATGATGATGATGAAGACTCTGAGGAAGAGGAGGACGAGCCCTGCCGGTACAACCTCTCCAACATGCCGAGCAGCCTGAGCCTGAGTCCCGCTGCAGCAGAACCGGAGGGAACCAGCCTGACCGGGCCCTCCGGTCGGCTCTTCTACAGCTTCAAGAACATCACCCGGCAGGGCTCCCCGTCCCCGGCCTCCCTCTCGCCCTCCTCCCGCTCCTCCTCCTCCTGCTGCGGGGACGACCTGGACGAGCTCCCCACCGACGGGAGCAGCTTCCTCTCCGGGTTCCAGGAGCCGTGCAGCTCGGCCCCGGGGAACCTGAGCCTGTCCCTGGTGGATAAAGACCTGGACTCGGAGGGCAGCCTCGGCTCACACTTCGACTTCCCGGACTATTGCACCCCGGAGCTCAGCGAGATGATCGCCGGGAACTGGCTGGAGGCCAACTTCTCGGACCTGGTGTTCACTTATTGATCACAGGGAGGATCGATACCCGGTCGGGAGGAGGAGGAGGATGATGATGATGAAGGGGATTATTAAGTTCCACTGGCCTCATCTGCCCCGGAGCCGGTTCTGGAGGTTCTGGAGGAGGTTGTGGAGCTCCAGAGCCAGTCAGGGACCGGGGTGATGAGCCTGCAGCTGCCCCGGAGCGGAGGCTGTTTTTGGGGGACACACAGTGCGGTACTCCGGCAAACAAACACATGAATGAAATTAAATTCAACAGGGTTTTATGGATTTTGTTTTCTGTGCTCGGGTCAGAACCAGGACCCGAACTATGCATCCCCCCAAACTGACTTTAATTAACACTAATATGAAGGATGCGCGATATTATTGAGCCGTTAATGTCAGTAATCAATAACACATTACCCAGAGTTCTCGGCTGTAATATCGATCATCCACACTGATATCAGGATGTCTAACTTTATGTTCCTCACTGCAACTTCAGGACTGTGTCATGTGACTTTTATTTTCTATTTCCGGGTTGTTCCAGGTGAGTGAGGCTGCCCACAGGTGTGGCGGGAAACATCTTTTTGATACACAAACCAAACATACCTCATGTTTTTTTAAAGAAGTAAAAACTATTTTCAGGCATATTTTTGTACAGTCAAAAGGTTTTTTCAGGCACTTCTTCTTCTACCACTGTTCACTCTGAATATTATTATTATTATTATTATTGTGTGTAACTGAGCTCGTGCAGGGGGGGGGGCGGGGTCTGAGGGCTGGCGCCAAATTTAACACATCATTTCAATTAATTTTAAAAGATAAATTAATTTAAATTCAATGAATTTGAAGATTTAAAGATTAAACAGTTTGTGGCACAATAATGTGTTTGAGTTCAAATATTGATAATTGTGATTATACCCGCCCACCCCGAGGCCCCCCCCACCCCGGGGCCCCCCACCCCCGACCCCCCCACCCCCGGGGCCCCCCACCCTCCCCCCCCACCCTCTACCCCCCCACCCGGGGCCCCCCCCACCCCGAGGCCCGCCCCTGTGCGAGGGTTCACATCCCAGCCGGCCTGCCTTGCTTTAACGCTGTTGTTTTAAACGAGTGTACAGACGGACAGGAAGTCAGACCTTTATTGTGAAAGTTTTGTGAGGATCCAGGGTTGTTGTATATGTTGTATAGTTAAAGTTTAGGAGTTTATGTATATGGGTGTGAATGAGGAACTGGATCTGTTCTGTTTTTTATCGGCGGCACACGTTTGTTTTCTGGCTCATTATTTTTGTGCAATATAAAAGAGAAACTGAAATAAAGGAGCATTTGTTTTGTAGCAGAAGGGTTAACTCGTCCTTCCTGATGACGTCTGTATGTGACCACTGAATAAATCAGCTGGAACTGAACTTATTGATTATTGATCTGTGATGCTCTGCTGTGATTGGACGACTCTTAAAGGGCCACACTCACCGTCTCCAGCTCTAAAGAAACAAAATGGCTGACAAAACAATATTAATACCATATCCCATGATCCTCCTCTGCAGGTGGTGTTGTCATGGAAACCTAGATGGTCGCATTTCCTCAAAGAGAGTTTATAACAACCGACTGCACTTAAAGTACTCTTTGTTTATAACAGGAGAGAAACAACAACAGTGAAACCTCCTGAGATATTATACTGATAATAAATATATAATAATAATAAAGAATATAACAACCAACAGTTACTGATAACCAATCTATAAGAATATTATAAAACTGATAATAAATATATAATAATAATAATAATAATAATATAATATAACAACCAACTGTTACTGATAATAAATATATAATAATAATAATAATATAATAATAATGATAATATAATAATAATAATAATATAACTGAACCAACTGTTACTGATAATAAATATATAATAATAATAATAATAATAATAATATAATATAACTGAACCAACTGTTACTGATAATAAATATATAATAATAATAATATAATATAACTGAACCAACTATTACTGATAATAAATATATAATAATAATAATATAATAATAATAATATAATAATAATAATAATATAACTGAACCAACTGTTACTGATAATAAATATATAATAATATAATAATATAATATAACTGAACCAACTGTTACTGATAATAAACATAATAATAATAATAATAATAATAATATAACTGAACTACTCACATAGTATAATGCTAGCCTGCAAGCTAACGTTAGAGTTAGCCTCTCTGAGCTAGCTTAGCTTAGCTACAACACAGCCGCTAGGTTAGCTAGCTGCACTTTAAATAAACAATGTCAGTCTTTGTGCTGCTTTATGTTACAGTTGAAATATATCTCTGTTATTGATCATTGATTGATCCTCTCGCCCAGAGAGAGAAAATTAATGTATTTAATTTATATTCTTTCAACAACCTTCAAAACTTTATTGAAGCAAAGTGAGACAGGAGACATCAAACGTTGCTTAAATAAAAACTACAATATCTAAAGTGTGATAAACTGACTGAGAGGAGCTCCAGACGTCTGACAGTGACTCAGATTACAGCATGTCTGCAGTCTGAACGGCTCCTTTAATCTCCGACTCTATAACCCGGGATTACCCGCTTCAACACAGTTTAACAGATCAGATTAACAAGTTTACGTCTGTTTAGAAACGAGGTAAACAACAGACTGTAAACAACATAGACTGTAAACAACAGACTGTAAACAACACAGACTGTAAACAACAGACTGTAAACAACACAGACTGTAAACAACAGACTGTAAACAACACAGACTGTAAACAACACAGACTGTAAACAACAACAAACAACAGACTGTAAACAACACAGACTGTAAACAACAGACTGTAAACAACACAGACTGTAAACAACACAGACTGTAAACAACACAGACTGTAAACAACAGACTGTAAACAACACAGACTGTAAACAACAGACTGTAAACAACACAGACTGTAAACAGCACAGACTGTAAACAACAGACTGTAAACAACACAGACTGTAAACAACACAGACTGTAAACAACAGACTGTAAACAACACAGACTGTAAACAACATAGACTGTAAACAACAGACTGTAAACAACACAGACTGTAAACAACACAGACTGTAAACAACAGACTGTAAACAACACAGACTGTAAACAACAGACTGTAAACAACACAGACTGTAAACCACAGACTGTAAACAACACAGACTGTAAACAACAGACTGTAAACAACACAGACTGTAAACAACACAGACTGTAAACAACACAGACTGTAAACAACACAGACTGTAAACCACAGACTGTAAACAACACAGACTGTAAACAATAGACTGTAAACAACACAGACTGTAAACAACACAGACTGTAAACAACAAGACTGTAAACAACACAGACTGTAAACCAACAGACTGTAAACAACACAGACTGTAAACAACATAGACTGTAAACAACACAGACTGTAAACAACACAGACTGTAAACAACAAACTGTAAACACAGAACTGTAAACAACACAGACTGTAAACAACACAGACTGTAAACAACATAGACTGTAAACCACAGACTGTAAACAACACAGACTGTAAACAACATAAACAGACTGTAAACAACACAGACTGTAAACAACACAGACTGTAAACAACAGACTGTAAACAACACAGACTGTAAACAACAGACTGTAAACAACACAGACTGTAAACAACACAGACTGTAAACAACAGACTGTAAACAACACAGACTGTAAACAACACAGACTGTAAACAACACAGACTGTAAACAACATAGACTGTAAACCACAGACTGTAAACAACACAGACTGTAAACAACAGACTGTAAACAACACAGACTGTAAACAACACAGACTGTAAACAACACAGACTGTAAACAACACAGACTGTAAACAACACAGACTGTAAACAACATAGACTGTAAACAACAACTAAACAAGACTGTAAACAACACAGACTGTAAACAACAGACTGTAAACAACACAGACTGTAAACCACAGACTGTAAACAACACAACTGTAAACAACATAGACTAGTATCAATTCAATTTTCAAAAGACTAGAAATAAACAACACTGTCTCTAAAGAAGTTGAGTTTACAAAAACACACATTAACATATATATAAATGTAAACCACAGACTGTAAACAACACAGACTGTACACAATAGACTGTAAACAACACAGACTGTAATCAACATAGACTGTAAACCACAGACTGTAAACAACACAGACTGTAAACAACATAGACTGTAAACCACAGACTGTAAACAACACAGACTGTAAACAACAAAAAAAAACAGACTGTAAACAACAGACTGTAAACAACATAGACTGTAAACAACAGACTGTAAACAACAGACTGTACTGTAAACAACACAGACTGTACACAGACTGTAAACAACAGACTGTAAACAGACTGTAAACAACAGACTGTAAACAACAGACTGTACTGTAAACCACAGACTGTAAACAACACAGACTGTAAACAACACAGACTGTAAACAACAGACTGTACTGTAAACAACACAGACTGTACACAGACTGTAAACAACAGACTGTAAACACAGACTGTAAACAACAGACTGTAAACAACAGACTGTAAACACAGACTGTAAACAACAGACTGTACTGTAAACAACAGACTGTAAACAACAGACTCAGATATCACCATTTAACAGTTATTTTTCTGTTTAAATTACTGTTATCTAATGCTAACTGTTGGTGAAGTAAAATAAACTCCTGAATGTTGTTTTTCTTTCCAGCGTTACAGAAGACCAGTGCATAAATAAAACACTGTTTCTAAAGAAGTTGAGTTTACAACTGAAACAGCAGAACAATGTTAACTCAGTATTATATATATAAATTATATTAAGTCTTCATCAGGTTCAGTGTGAGACGGTAGAAAGCTCCGGAACCAGCTCCAGTGGACCTTGACTTTATATTTTATGAGAGTCTGCCTTTGTTTGTTTACGTTTACCCAGAATGCAAAGCTGGGGCGTGATTAGAAGTCTCGGCTCCATCAGAGCGGAGCCTCGCGGGGTCAGGAGGTCAGGGGTCACTGTGTCAGCGAATGGGAGCTCAGTCTGTGAGCGGGGTCTGTTTTCTCAACTGCTGCTTATCAGGAGGCAGAATCCAGAGTCAGAGGAGGCTCAACAGGGACCAGCAGCCAGACCTCCACAGACCTCTACAGACCTCTACAGACCTTCACAGACCTTCACAGATCTTCACAGACCTCTACAGACCTCCACAGATCTTCAGAGACCTCTACAGACCTCTACAGACCTCCACAGACCTCTACAGACCTTCACAGACCTTCACAGACCTCTACAGACCTCCACAGACCTTCACAGACCTCTACAGACCTCCACAGACCTTCACAGATCTTCACAGACCTCTACAGACCTCCACAGACCTTCACAGACCTCCACAGACCTCTACAGACCTTCACAGACCTCCACAGACCTCCACAGACCTTCACAGATCTTCACAGACCTCTACAGACCTCTTCAGACCTAAAGGAAGCTACGGCAGCAGTTAGCAGGTATAATGTTCACCATCATCATTTAGCATGTTAGCATTTCCTAATTAGCACAAAGTAAAGTGATTTAAAAACTGTCTTTAAATCATCAGATGTGTTTGTTTAGAGAGGATCAGTTAGTTGTTTCAG